CCCCCCCCAAGGTCTGCGGCGTGGTGGCAGCGCGTGGTTTGTGGCACGCTGAGTCAGAGTCCCACAGCCGCCATCCTTTCTGGAGAAAGACAAAGGTGACAGCCCGCTAGGACAGCGCCTCACCTCACTGTGCCCTTGAGGAATCCTGTGACTTAAAGCGCGAGCCTTTGCTTTTTACGTTTTGGAGACGGGCTCTCCCTTGGTGTCTCAGTCGGGCCTGGAACTTGCTGGGTAGTCTACCCTACCCTGGCCTCAAACCTGCAATCTTCCAGCTTCATGCTCCTAAGTAATGATGATGGTATTGCAGGCCTGGCGGCATCTGCTTTTTGAGTTGTGACTGAACTTGGACACAGTAATTGATTCCAAAATAATTGTATGATGTGGCCTCATCTTATGTTGTGGGGGAGAAAATTGGTGTAATTCTTTAAAAAAATAAAATAAAAAACCTGCGAGGGATGTAGAAAGGCAAAAAAAAAAAAAAGTCTAGGGGTGGTTCCTATTTGTGCCCGTAGGCTGTCATTAAACTAACCTTAAGTGTAGCAATTCTCTGGCATTTTAAGTGAAATTAATTAGTAATGGAGAGAGCCCCAAACACTTCGGCCACCTCTCTGTACTGAAGGGACCCACCTCTTCCTGGGGAGCTGAAGCAGAGCTGGGCATTACTGAATAGAGCACTATTAAATGCTGTTAGAATGGCTGTTTGTGTGGAGCTTTCCCTGAATCTTTGTCGTCTACACCTTTTGGTGCTTTCTGTGAAGGAAGTGAAGCAACCCGCATGCTTTAACACCCCCTGCTACCTGTAGGACATGCTCGAGCTGCTTGTTGGCCAAGACTTACTCCAGCTCCAGAAGGCACTGTCTTCAAACGCTTGTGCTGATCCTCTTGCCATCAAAAGCCATAGCGGGACTCTGGATGGCTTTGCACCAAAGCTAGGGTGAGAAGCACTTCCCTTAGTGTTCCAGAATTAGTGCAAAACACGAGGCTTCATTTGCACGGGGAGTTGTCATGAGTGTGCAAACACTCACTTCACTCCCTCTTCCTCCCCCACACCCAGGTTGTTCAGCTCAATTTTTAACATGTATGTGCAGAGAAACCAGAACAGGTCAGCTGGCCTGTCACTATTCTTTTGAGGCAGGGACAGCCACCCCCTGAACTGGAGCTGGTGTTTTCTCTACTAAGCCAGCACCCCCATAAGTCTGCACTCGCCTGGCAGCTGTGGTTACATGTCTGCACCAGACACTCCCAAGTGATTCTTTTAAACTAGCAACTGGAGGGGTGGCAGTCAAGTGTCAACAGCTGCAGCCATGCCACAGCACCCCCCTTCTGTGGCAGTAGCAGCAAGAAAGAAAGGAAGGAGAGGGAGGGCAGATAGAGCAGAACCAAGGATTCAGACAAGGCCCATACAACAGAGCAGCACACAGAGCTGCTTTCTTATACCCTGCATACATTGTGATCTTCCTCATCCCCAAAAGCTACCTGTGAACTTCAACTTCCTGAGCCTTGGGTACACAGAACAGAAAATAGTTACTCAAAGCAACAGAGTTGACATGAGAGACCTTGAACACCTAACAGTGGGTGGTCTTTGTAGCCATGACTTAGGGATAAGTCAGAACAGGGTACCCTTTTCTTATGTATAATAAATACAATGATTGTTGAGATAGCAACATGTTAACACAAAAACACACCCACAAACTCCTGCAAGGGAAGCAGCCTGGGGGGTGGGTATACACAAGTGTTTGGGAATGGAACCATCAATGGGTTCTGGGATGACTTAAGTGATAACCAGTATTTTTACTTTAATTTGTTGTGGTACTATGGATTAAATCAAGAGTGTCACGCATGCTAGGTAGTGCTCTGCCTCATCAGTGATATTTTTAATTGTCAGCAGCACATACAGCCATGTGAAATGTTCATGTTCGTCAAATGTATCCATAATTATTAGTTAATAATGCAAAATTGAAAGTAATTCCATCAGACTCAATTCCAACCTCTTACTTCATCTACGGAGGTATTCACAAGGAAGTTGGGAGACGTGCTTAATTACAGTCACTGACTTGGGTCAGCAACTTAAACACCCTTTAAATCCACGCAAGGGGCTGTTACATGAAAGTCTGGGACAGGAACAAGCTATGCTGCAGTCACTCTACTGCGACAAGGTAAAGGGTAGGCAATTAAAGCTTCCCAATGCCTCTCACTGTAAGAATTCTCTAACTACTTGTAACCCTAGCAGAAAATATTTGAGGCCAAGTAAGGGAAAAAACTGTTCATGAGGAAAAAAAAAAAGACTAATTATCATGATTAGAAAACACATACCCAGTATTTTTATTACAATTAAAAGCCAACTTCTAGCCGGGCGGTGGTGGCGCACGCCTTTAATCCCAGCACTTGGGAGGCAGAGCCAGGCGGATCTCTGTGAGTTCGAGGCCAGCCTGGGCTACCAAGTGAGTTCCAGGAAAGGCGCAAAGCTACACAGAGAAACCCTGTCTCGAAAAACCAAAAAAAAAAAAAAAAAAAAAAAAAAAAAAAAAAAAGCCAACTTCTAATCACTGTTGACCACTCATACATAGTCTTGGGGCTTTAAGTATTTAATCAGATATAACATAAGACAAGTATTTTTCCAAGTTAAAAAAAAATATACAGAGCATCTTAGGAAAATGTTCTACAAAATACTTTTTTATATTTTAAACATGAAATAGTACACACATATTCTACTTATGAAAGTAGAAATCTCAATAATTACACAGTAATAAATTCTAAAACATCTGGGCCAGTAGGATAGCTCAGTGAATAAAAGTGCATGCAGTGGAGAGAACTCGAGTTCTCTGACCTCCACATGCAAATTGTGGAATGCATGCACTTGCATCCACATATGCACACACACACAATAAGTTAAATGTGTGTGTGTATGTGTGTATGTATACAGTATTATCTGCATGCTTTAAGCTGCTCACTCACAGGAGTTCTAAGTATGCACACAGATCACATCAGAACACACAACCTAATGTTGCATCTTTTATATAATTTAGGCAAAAATGCTCAAGAATGATCAAGTAACATTGCTGAGACTTAAAAGATTCTAAATACTGTAAGGGAAACAAAGCATAAAATATCCAGACTTGGATACAGGAAATGGAGCTTTCTCTGCTCTCCAAGAGCTACACTTTCATTTTTAATTGTATGTATATGCCTGTGTGTAGTTATATGCATGAGTGTAGGTGCCTGAGGCCAGAGGAGTTGGACCCAGGAGCTTAAGTTATAGGAAGTTGTAAACTACTTGATACGGGGTGCTAGGAATTGACTTGGGTTCTGGAAGAGCAGTACATGCTCTTAACCAGGAAGCCATCTCTCCAGCCTCTAGAACTACGTTTTAAACACCCTGTTAGATTTTCTACATGGTATTTCCTAAAGACAGAAATTTCAAAACTAAATGAAAACTCATCCTATGCTCTTGACTACCTAAGTGATAGGATGTGCTTTTACTACAGACTCTAAATCAGCCACCTTGGCTTACCCCTTTCCATAATTCTCTATCCTGGACCCAGCCTCAGCTTGGTGAGATCATTAGCTATAACCAGGCCAAATCCCTAGGGGACACAGCAGTATGCTGTTCTGTCATTCATCTTTAAAGTTTGTGATTTAATTACCATAATTCATTAGAAAATGTTGTCTTTAAACTTTCTGGGGCAGCTATTTCATTCTGAGTAACACTAATTTAAAGATCACATTTACCTGAGAGAGAATTTTTCCTATGAAACCAGTTTTTTGGGTCTTTTGTTTTTTTTTTTTTTTTTTTTTTCGAGACAGGGTTTCTCTGTGTAGCTTTGCGCCTTTCCTGGATCTCGCTCTGTAGACCAGACTAGCCTCGAACCCACAGAGATCCGCCTGCCAACCTGTCAAGGACATTACTGACCACTCTCCATGCTGGCTATGTGCTAGAAGTCAATCACACTTCTCCTGGTGTTCTTATTGGTTAGCAATTAATTAGATGGACGGACTAAGATAGAAATGCAGATTTCTACTACAGGAGCAAGAGAGAAAAATGAGAGGTGAAGAATGGGTGTATATTATAGACAGCTCAGTCTTTCTTAGGGACCATGACTACATTCGGAATCAGTATTCCCACAGTAACCACTTGAACACCTGGTCTAAGTACAACCAGTATTAATGTTTATTATTTTTCTGTAAATCCATTTCTAAGAACAATGCTTCAAAGAAGCCTTATATACAATATGAATACAAAACAAAAAAACCACAACACCACTTGGAAGTCTCCACACTTTCCACATAATCCATAAAAGCCCAGACGCTCATTGCAAGGGTTCACCACAGAAGGAAGGAGGCAGCTTCTGTCATTACTGCTGGTCTTTTGGTTTCTTTGTTCTGACTTTTTTCTTTTGTCCTTTCTTCTTTTTCATGAGAACTGCCTTTTCTCCAATGAATGCACTTTTGGAATGTCCTGCATCTTTGGAAGTAAAATTAAGTTTTTGCTTCGGTTTACTGGCATTCTTCAAGCTTGGATTTGAACTTTGTTGTTTTAGTTTTTCTTTATTGACAGAACGCATGACTCTCAGTTTTCTTCCCATTAGCTCAGAGTTATTTAACTTCAAAGCAAGATGAACAGCATCTGTATTCTGTAATAATAATAATAATAATAATAATAATAATAATAATAATAATAATAATACACATTAATCTCCACCAGAAACTCCTCATATGTAATGAGACCAGTGAAGTCAGAATTCAGTGGTCTATGTCCGTCTGAAAGCTTGCTCACAGAAGGCAAGGCCTCTTCTCAACCCTCTGTGCTCTGGAGGTCAAACCCTCAGAGTTCTGGCAGCCTGCCTGAGCCCCTGTTGTTCCTGGCAGCACTCAAGTTACCTCACCAAATGCTCAGTCACAACCACCGGTTCACTTTTATCATCACATGAGCTTTCTTTAAAAAACGGAAAACAGCCCACAAGCCAACTTTCTGTAAAATTTCTGTTGTAAGTGGAAGGCAGGAAACTCTCCTACAGTCTCTAAGATGTGGGACTAGAGATCCTAGAAGGTTCTACAAGTCAAATTCCTATTCCAACACAGAACGATTAATATCTGAATGTTGAGATGTTCTCAAAGAGGCAAGTTACATCTAGACAAACACTTATCAGTGCAATAGAACAACACAGACTTCACACACACACAAGACTCTTCGAGAATCTCCCAGGCAATACCTATCAAGAGTCAAAGAGCCTTGGTGCTGGACAGGTATCTCACCCAGTAGTTAAGAGGACATGCTGCTCTTAAGGAGAACTGGAGTTCAGTTCCCGGCACCCATGCCAAGTGGCTCACAACCACCTGTAACTCCAGCTCAAGGGGACCCCACACCTCTGGCATGAGTACCTACACTCATACACATTAAAAATAATAAAAATAAATCTAAATGCCATCAAGTAGTAGGTATATTCTTCTACTGCTTAAGAATATTGGGAAACACTGAAATTTCCTTCTAATGGTCAAGTGTTTGCTCCATCTTACAGAAGGTAAAATTCAGAGGTTTTAGTTCCTCTAACACCCAACATCTGGAGTATTACTTAGTACTGTTAGCATGCACAAACAAGGAACTACAACATGTTTTGCTTGGGACAGCTGTAGCCACAGCACTTTGTCATGGTGGTTATGAATTTAGCGTCCCTAAGTAAGAACCTGAGAATTCAAATAACAGCATTATCTGAAAGACAACACAGTACTGACACCCCCCCACACACACACACACAGGTATTTCAAGGAGCATCAGTACATTAGTCTCCCATACCTCAAAGAGCACATAGCCGAACCCTCTGCCGACTCCTGTGAGTGGGTTTCTCAAGATCCTCACTGCCACAATGCCTCCACAGTCCAGAAAGTGATCCTCCAAAGCAGCCTCTTCAACTTCTACAACAAATCCAAGCACAAATGAGGTGAACATGTGAACCTCCTTAGAAAGCTAGAGGGGTTTGATAATACTTTGAGTTAAGCAAAGCCCCATAAAAACACAGCATTATCCAGCATGCCTTTCAAAGGTGGTCATAAGCCAATCATTAAATTACTCAAGGTTTGTCTGTGTGGGTTCTGGTAGTAAGGGAACTGAACTCAAAGCCTCACAAATGCCAAAGAGGTACTCTGCCACTGAGCAACAATTCCAGCTCTTTCTACAGTTTCCTGGGGCACCTAAAAGTTGGCCTTCACTTTTCAATCTTTCTGCCTTGGCCTCAAGTAGCTGGGATAAAAGATATGCACTAAGTTACCACACCCAGATCTCCTCAGTTTCCTTTTGTTGTTTTTTACTGTGCTGGCTACTGTACTCATGAATTACCATGTAGGTATATTCAGGCCCCTGGCCACTGAACTATGCCCTGTTCCTTCCCTATCATGTAATAACAACAGTTAGACTTTTATTTGCTTAAATAAACTTACTGTAAGGAAGATTCCCAACAAATACCGATCTCTTGTCCCTCTGAAACAACAATGATGAATAAAAACCAGTCAGTGTATTAGAAAACACAAACTATCCTACACCCCACCCCCACCCCACATCTCCCTCCAATGGCTGTATTCATCCACTTCCTGACTTGATCATATACCTGCCCATGTCTGTTCTTATCTTCACTCTGCATAACACGAGAGCACCAAAGAGACTTTATTCATAGCATCACTCACAGGCAGTGCTTAGGGAAGGCCTGCTATTCAAAAGTTTTACCCATGAGAGGCCAATCAGCAAACACTTTAGGCTCTAAGGCAGTGGTTCTCAACCTATGGGTCATGACCCCTCAGGTAATGGAATGATCCTTTCACAGGGATCACCTAAGGTCACTGGAAAACACAGATATTTACATTACAATTCATAACAGTAGCAAAAGTGCAGTTATGAAGTAGCAGTGAAAACAATCTCATGGTTGGGGGCAGCACAACATGAGGAAGTGTGTTAAAGGGCCGCAGCATTAGGAAGGTTGAGAACCACTTAGTCTAATGACCACATGATCTCCACTGAATTCCTCATCCTGCTATAGAAGCTTTAGAACTGCTTAAGACATAGAAACAAACCTGTGGTGTGTGCAGTTAATCTTAGTAACAGAGACGGCCAACACCACAGTTTGTTAGACCCTCTGTGGTATCTATCCTCAGTCCAGTTGGAGGTTTTGCGCTGTTCTCTTTCAGCTAAGTAACCTTGACACCAAGAGAAGCACACTTCTGTGGGACTTTTTTTTTTTTTTTTTTTTTTTTTTGGTTTTTCAAGACAGGGTTTCTCTGTGTAGCTTTGCGCCTTTCCTGGAACTCGCTTTGGAAACCAGGCTGCCCTCGAACACACAGAGACCCGACTGGCTCTGCCTCCCGAGTCCTGGGATTAAAGGCGTGCGCCACCACCGCCCGGCGAGAAGCACACTTCTGCAGGCTAACTCTACAATCCTTCTTCACTGTCTGAAGACACGGCTGCCATATGCAATCTGGTCACACTGCTCCTGAACAAGACCCAGACTTTGCATGAGATGAGGCAAAGCGGGGTTTCATGGTTTGCCTGCTAACCTGTCTACCCAGCAGCACTCTTAGCCCCACACACCCATTAGCCACACAAAGCTCTTGCCATTCCCTGAGCAAGTTAGGTTTCTGTCCCCAGTGCCTACACCTCACAGATATTGCCACAGTACTTTGAAAACACTTTCCTCCCCAGGTAAATCTTTCAAGACTTCTATGAGATCTGTTCTACAAACTGTCCTCCTTTCTTGTTGGCCTCTTCCCAGGTACACCATTCTGAGTAGACAAAGCATCCTGTGCTTATGACAATATTTACATAAAGTAGACCCACAGCCTGTCCCTCTGTGTCTCCAGCATGTTTCAAGCACACAATCTTCAGACTGCTCCTTACATCTAACAAATAACAACTTTGCTTTTGGTTTCGGAGACAGGGTCTCACTGTATAGCCCAGTGTGGCCCAAAACGTGTGCTTCTCTTGTCTCTGCCTCCCCAGCACTGCCACAGGCATGAGCTAACAGCCTAACAGGAATAACAATATTCCCGACTTCAGTCTGTTAAAAAGGTGCTGCACATCTTACTTTCTCTACGAATGGAGAGTATCTTCAAATGCAAAGTGACCTGTTTGTGAAGGTAATGTTCACCTGAGTCCTGTGACCCTGTGGACACTGATACTGTGTCCCTAAAGAACAAAGGTTTCTTTCTCCCATTTCCCTCCTGCCCACACGATTGGTTCTACTTTTCCACAAGGCTCGTGTTAAGATCTTTTTGTTGTTGTCTTGTTTTCTTTTTTACTTCTTCAGGACACAGTCTAACACTGTCACCAGGTAAGCCTGTCATTCCTGTCGCTGCTTGTCTCACCCTCCTGATGCAGGGATTACAGGCGTGAGCTACCATCTCTAGCTGTCTTGTTAAGAATGTTAAACAAATCATTCTACTTACAGAGGTGGTTTCAGATGCAATATCAACTCGAATACGAAATCCTTCTGCAATCTGGGCCCCATTTCTAATTATAAAGACAAGGGGAATGGCTGCTGAAAATGAGCACTCAGTTATGGAAACACTTGCTGTCGTAAAGCCAATAATAAGCCCATCTCTACAGGACAGAGGACAGTAATGCATCACCCCAGAAGTAGTGAAGCCAATAATAAGCCCACCCCTACAGGACAGAGGACAGTAATGCACCACCCCAGCAAGAGTGAAGCCAACAGTAAGCCCACCCCTACAGGACAGAGGACAGTAATGCACCACCCTAGCAGGAGTGAAGCCAACAGTAAGCCCATCCCTACAGGACAGAGGACAGTAATGCACCACCCCGGAAGTAGTGAAGCCAACAGTAAGCCCACCCCTACAGGACAGAGGACAGTAATGCACCACCCCGGCAGGATTACCTCTGCAGGGCTTTTGCAGCAGAACTCTCATCCTTAAACACTACATATGCGTTGATGCTTTTCTGGTCAGGATGAAATTTACGTCTACAGAGAAAACAGAAGGGAAAACGATCATGTAAAACTTGCTAACCTCAAGCTACTCAAGAGAAAAATCTAGTTTCACTTTCTACAATCAATACATGATAAGACTTCCAGAGTGGAAGTTCCACATTTTCAAGTCAAGATGCAGTAATTTAAAAAGGAACACGGATCTATAAAGGTAGCAAAAGAAACACGAAGCCTACACTTTCTTGGGAGTCATCACTGTGAGGGAATGGTAAGAACAGGACACCCACATGTGTCACCTGGAACAATAGAAGGATTAGAAATGTCATCCTGGCTTCAACTCTGTACCTAGCAAAACTGTTCTTTTTCACTGCACGACACACACCTAGAAAGTGCACATCCACAAACAGATCAGCACACAGGAGCTAAAGCCCTGGCAGCCACCACCCACCCAGGAGCCCATCCTTCCTTCTGATGGTCATCACCATCCCTAACTTCCGCTACCCTCTTACAATATTGCCCTAGGGCCCTATCTACTCCCATACATTGCACTCTGACTTGTCCATTTTCCTTTCATCTGTCTCTCTGTTTGACCTGCATTATTTCCAACAGCCTGAATTTGCTGGCTGTGAGAAAACAGTTCAACATGCATCTTTATCTTCTGTACGTTGCAAACTTGCTACTGGATCCAAAGGTTTAATCTGGCTCCGACGAGGCCCCTTGGTCAGGACCACAGTTAAGTGTTATAATCTTTCTTAGCAAGGCACGTTATAGCTGCTCTTCACTTTCGTGTGAGTGTGCTTACACATATGTGCATGTATGTGTGGAGGCCAGAGTCAACCTCATGTGTCATCCCTCAGGTGCTGTCTACATTTCTGTGTATATTTTTAAAACATTTGTTTAGTTGGTTGTAGGTAAGGGAACATGCACACTCATGTGGAGGCAGGGGACAACTCACAGGAATTATTCCTTTCCTTCCATTATGTGGGTTCCAGAGACTGAACCAAGGTCATCCAGCTTGGAAGCAAGGACTTTTCCTTGCTGGGCCATCTTGCAGGCACTACTTACATTTTTGAGACAGGGTCTCTCACTGGCCTAGGTCTCACCATCCAGGCTTGACTGCCTGGCCACTGGGTGCCAGGGATCTACCTGTCTCACCTCTCCAGCACTGGGATTACCAGTGTACCAACCACTATGCTTGGCTTTTTCACAAGGGACCTAGGGATCAAGCTTAGTCCTCACGCTTGCCTGGCAACCACTTAACCAACTGAGCATCTCCCCAGGCTAGCTCTTCACCTTTAACGATTATGGCCAATGCTGCTGCTCAAGACCTACATTTGCAAAAGGGCAATATAATATGGATGTGATTCTGTAGAAAATAGTAATTAATATTAACGGTGAGACAGACTGGGGCTGGAGAGATGGCTGAGTGGTTAAGAGCACTTGTTGCTCTTGAAGAGGATCCTGGTCAGTTCCCCGCATCCACAGGGCAGCACACTATACCACCTTAAGTCTTTTCTTTTTTTGCTGAAAAAAAGTAATTTTTCAAGCCAGGTATGGTGGCATACACCTTTAATTCTAGCACTCAGGAGGTAGAGACAGACATATCTCTGTGAGTTCAAAGCCAGCCTGGTCTACACAGCCAAGTTTCAGGACAGCCAGGACTGTTACACAGAGAAACCCTGTCTTAAAAAAACAAACAAAAAAATAATTTTTTATACAATGTATTCTGATCAGTTTTCTCTCCTTTATCTTCTCCCAGATCCTCCCCCCCATCCAATTCCATGCCTTTGCTCTCTTTCTCTTTAGAAAACAAAAACAAACAAACAAACAAATAAATAAAAACAACCAAACTAACAGAAAAAAATAATAAAGCATGAGAAATGTGCAAAAACTATAATATATAAGCAAAACACCAGTAAGGTCAAAAAATGCCCAAACAAAACAATATGAGACAAAAGAAAACCCATCAAATCTTCAAAAATAGCACTGAGTTTGTTTTGTGCTGGCCATAAGATCTCACTTAAATGTGGTATACCAAGTGAGACTCCACTGGAGAAAACTAATTTTTCCTTTGTGAACCACTGACACCTGTAGACAGCTTCTGGGTTAGAGGTGGGGGCTCGTGTCCACTTCCCATCTCAGCACTGATATCCTATGTACAATCTGACAGTTTTCTATTGAGGAAAACAGCTATGACTTACTAGATACAAAGTACTGCCAAGCATTGAACCAGACATTTCACATCCCTTCCTTAACCTCACACCTGACATGGATGTTATTTTTCTGATTTTACGAATGAAGAAACAGAGGTCTAGAGAAGTGTGTGGTGGTGATCAGAAAGCGAACAAGCTATCTCAGGACAGAAACTCAGTCTAGGGGTCTCCATCACCTAACTCTCCCCACAATACACAGCTGTTAACAAACCCTAAGCTGACAACAGCCCAGTGACACAGAACAGATGCGGCTTTGCTATTCTGTCACATGAATACCAGTGGCAAGCAGGTGGGTCTATTTCAACGGACTGTAAGAACTGGCTTACATCAGACTCAAGGGGAAATATGAAGTGCTAATGACAGGCAGCGCTCTGCTTCTCCTATAACACAGAAGCCAGAGAAAGCATCTCTCCAGCCTTTAACAACATCAAAACTTTGGTGGAAGCCATCAGAGAGCAGGAGTCTTGGAGGAAAGCAGCCTGAACACTAAGGCCAGGCTCCTCCTTCCAAAGAGAAACAATAACAGCATGGTTCAGTCTTAGCCAGAACCCTAAAGGTCATTGATGCTGCAAGGGGACCATCTCCAGGGTGTACTCTGATCTAAGCTGGTATCCACAGAAGATGGAGCATGGGCCCAGAGAATATCCATGCTAACAACAGGCTAGAGAAGAGTGGCCAAGCCCCACCTGGATTCTCCTCCAGATAAAGGAAAAGCCAAAGATGCTGCAGGGAGGGACAGCAAGCCTGCCACTCAGGGCAGAGCTAAGACTCCAGGGCTAGAAGAGGAAAGGGAACCTCTTGTCAGAGAGATGGTATAGAATGTTAAGACCCATCAAAGGCAAAAGGCTGAGACTAGCCTAAAAGACGGCTCAGTGGGTAAAGATGCCTGCCACCAAGACTGACAATGATCCTCTAGTACCACTTGGTAGTAGAGAGCCAACTTCCACAAGCACACTGTGGCACATGCATGCCCACACACACACATTATAAATAAACAAGCACTAAAGCAAGGGACCTGGGGACCACAGCAAGGAGTAGCTGACCACAGCTCCTTGACAGAGCCCTGGGCCTGCCTGGCTCTGAGACTAGGCCAGGCCAACAGAGCTTTGCGCCCTCATTCCCACTACACTACAGGCTCACTAACAAACGGCAGCACTCTGTACTGATCCTCAATAAGATGTGAAACTTCTTATCCTTCTGATCCTTTCAAAGACACCAAAGCTCTTAAAAGTATGTGGAATATATAACTCTCCCACACCTTGTCTGTCTGTCTCTCCCTCAGAAACAAGAGAAAAAGAATGTAGTAAACAGGTGAAGCTTTTACAGTAATTGACCAAACATGGAAATACCCAGTAAGCACATAAAAAGATGTTTGTCATCTTAAACTGAGAAAAACACAAAAGCATAGCAAGAAGCCTGTAGAAAGGCTAACACTGAGTGACTGGCAGCACCTAGTGCTGGGGAAGACATGAACATCTGGTGTTCTCACCTACTGCTGGTGGGATGGAAAACCATGCAAAAATGATGGGATGGTGGGTGGCTATTTTTTAGGAAGCTAAAACACACTGACTATAAGGCTCAGCCATTCTACCTCAGGGACTTTGTCAGAAGTAACCTGCACACAAATGGTTTTAGTCCTTTATGCATGAAAGGTAAAAACTGAAATCACCTAAATGTCAAAGGGCTAGTGAATAACCAAACTTTAATGCTAATTTTCCACATAAGGAACCAGTATAGACAGGGAGCAGAACACTGATGCACACAGAACAATCTCAAAACCATGCTGAGGAAAGTCAGACCAGAAGATATAGTGGGCTAGAGTGTGCTCAGAGGTAGTGTGTGTGCTTAGCATAAACCAGGTCCCACGTCCCCTCCCCAGAATCAAGGAAACAAAGCATTCATGAAGTGTGGGGAGTCTGCTTACATAACACACTAGCACATGTAACTCAGAGACAGAAAGTAGATGAGTGAGCAGCTGCCTACGGATAGACATGAGGGACACACTGCAAGGGCACAGAAGTAGACTAGGCTAAGGAGGCATTCAGGAGGAAGACTGTGGCAATGCTTTCACCAGAGCCCAAACGGTGAGTTAGGAGTCACGCTCCTAACGGCGGCCAGATGTGGTGGTATTCCCCTATGTGCTCACACTCAGGAAACAAAGGCAGAAGGATCAGGAGTTCCATGCCTACTGAACTACACAGCAAGATACTGTCTCAAAACGTAAGGGCTGGGTAGGTGTAGTAGTGCACACCTTTAAACTCAGCACTTGGAAGGAACAGACATGCAGATCTCTGTGAGTACAAGGACAGCCTGCCATCCAGGCCTATATAATGAGACCTTGGCTCAAAAAACCAAACCAAACCAAACAAACCAGGGTTGAGTGTAGTCCACTGGCAGAATAGTCACCTAGCATGTGCAAAGTCAGAGTTCAACCCCCAAAATAGCAAAAAAGAAAAGAATCCTAGAGCCCTACATCTCTAATGTACAATTTTACTGAAGGTAAATTTCACTTTTAATCAAAGAAGAAACAAAAACAAACCTAAGCATAAAGTTTCCCATGGCAAGATTCCTCATTACCCGCCTCCAAAAGTAAATGAAACATCCGTAACTTCTACCACAAATGGCTGGCTGATTTCATCCCTATCAAACAACTAAAAAACCAATAACTCAACAGCCAAAAGGAGTAAAAGACAGCAACCTCTGAGATAAAAGGCGCAGGAATGCCCCTGTGCACCAGCGGATGCTCAGTCACCTTGAACCACAAAGACCACTTTCTCCTTCCGGGCTGCCCTTGACCAAAAAAGCCCAAAGCACAATTTTTATAAAATGTGTGACTATAAACAGGTGACCAACGCTGAGGGACAGCAGTCAAAATTATAAATGCAAAGTATCCTTACTACTTCAAGTTCATTCTGCAGAAAAATCAGCACATACACACAACCACCCAGATATAAGATCATTAATTCCAGTTATTTATGATCACAAGACTGAAAAAAAAAAAAAAACTATAAAAATCCACTAATTAGCCATCAGCAGGTATACTTAAATAAGATATAAGGTAGACCTTACAGAACAGAAGGATGGTCTAAAAAAAGAAAATAATCTAATTATAAACTTACTTTATTGCGGCCAACTTTTTGGTTAGTGTTCCCTCTGCTGGCATCTTTTAAGAAGAAGAAAAAAAAACATTTAAAAATTTGAGTTTGGAGTCTTTTTTCAAAGTGGTTAACCTTTTTATTCCTCCCCTTTTTTCAGTGCTGGAGACTGACTTCAGGGCCTCATGCATGCCAACACATGGTCCACCTCTGCTACACCTCCAGCCATGTAAGTTACATTTTCGTTTAAAATATTCTAACCACATATAACTCAAAAGGCTTTAGGGAAATCGAATCTAAACAGCTATCCTAAGGCTTGTGAGTCAGGAGTTGTGGCACACATCTGTAATCCTATAATCTCAGCACTCTAGACAAGAAGATGAAGAATGTAAAGTTATCCTCAGCTACATAATGGGTTTGAGTTCAAGGCTACAGGAAGCCCTATCTCAAAATAACTGAAAGGGGGAGGGGGAAGACCACGAGGATTAAGATACAAGGAGTTGCCGGGCGGGGGTGGCGCAAGCCGTTAATCCCAGCACTCTGGGAGGCAGAGCCAGGCGAAACTCCATGATTTCAAGGCCAGCCTGGGCTACCAAGTGAGTTCCAGGAAAGGTGCAAAGCTACACAAGGAAACCCTGTCTCGGGAAAAAAAAAAAAAAAGATACAAGGAATTCCATAACGACATCACACTCGACAATCACTCTTGAACAACACAGGCACAAGTACAGACAATGGGCGCTCAAACAACAGGATAACTCCAAGATAGTAGTCAGGACAAACATGACGAAAACAGTTTTGCAAAGTAAATGTGTATGTAGGGGGGCAACATTAATAAATACACCTTACTCTTCATTCCATGTAAATTAAAAATGTCTAAACTGGCAATAAGGAAACTTGATTTCCTTTGCATCTAAGGGATCATATATCAAGTGGGCCCCCAAACTAGTGGAGTCTTTATTTATTTGTTTGTAGCCCAGGCTAGCCGTGGACTCAGTGTGCAGTTGAGGATGACCTTGATCTTGGTCCTGAGGAACACACTCCAGGAGAACCAAGGGCACACTACACCAGCAGCACAGGGAAAGCAAAGTGACAGAGGAGCAGCTGTGGAAAGGGTCACTGAGGCCAGGAAACAAGCGGCTTCAGGGCAGTAAGTGCTGCACTGAAAGACGAGGCTGGAGAACCCACAGGGCCACCACATGCCAGTAGCCCGTGGGGGCTGTATAAGTGAAAGGGGATTGAAGGGGGGAACCACAGCATGGTCAGCTGTTCTAACAAGAGGAAATAAAATGGTGCTCGCTTCGACAGCACATATACTAAAACTGGAACGATACAGAGAAGATTAGCATGGCCTCTGCGCAAGGATGACACGCAAATATGTGAAGCGTTCCATATTTTTGTGGCAAGATCGAAGTGGAGAAGCCCTTTGCCATTGCCAAGGAGTAGAGTCTCAGGGACCCCATCCCTCCAAGTGGCTGTACTGCAGGTCCCATTACCAACCCCCCAGGGGTGAAGGTAGCCAGTCACAGGCCCCATGCCACTCGGCCCCAATGCTTCCATCTGAGGGGGTGGACTCACACCCCCTCACATTCCACAGGCCTGGTTTTTATATCAAACTATCAATTCTGATCAATAAAAAAGTGGGTTTTCTTTTTTTTATAAATAAAATGGCTGCAGAGACAGCTCAGCAGTAAAGAACACTCACTACTTTTCCAGAGGACCTAGACTGGTCTCCCAACACCAACATGAGAGCTCACAACTGCCTGGAACTCCAGTCAAGTCCAGGGGATCTGATGCCCTCTTCTAGCCTCTAAGAGCAATGCATGAATATGATGACGTACAGTCATAACTGAAGGCAAAACACCCACCTATACACATAAAGTAAAATAAATCTTAAAAAGAGATTCTCAATAAAAATAAAAGACTTAAAAAGGCCATGAATAGACATAGGCCAACGAGAAAAGGAGTGAGCCAATTAGGGAAAACCCCATGTGCTGTGGAACAATCCTTTTCTACAGTATGCATATGTATTACTCTCACTGGCTAATAAAAGCTGATTGGCCAATAGTCAGGCAAAATATATAGGTGGGGTTATCAAATTGAGAATACAGGGAGAAAGAAGTGCGGAGTCAGAGAGAGTCGCCAGCCAGTTGCCAAGGGAGCAAGAGATGCTAGAGGGCAGTTAAAGCCACAAGCCATGTGGCAATACATAGATTAGTAGAAATGAGTTAATTTAAATGTAAGAGTTAGCTAGTGACAAGCCTGAGCTATTGGCTGAGCATTTATAAATAATACTAAGTCTGTGTGGTACTAAGTCTGGAAGTGGCTGCCTGGATAGAAAAACTCTGCCTATACACATGTGAAAAGCAAGCCGAGCAAGTAACAGATAAGGTGGTCCAAAGGAGTTAAGGCAATGCCACATCTTGCAGGGGGTAAACACAGGCATCCTGTAACTAGGGTGTGGGCCAAGACACCCACCCCAGTTAGTGGGTCAGGTAAGAGCTTCATATTAGGAAATAAAGAGCTCAGAAGAAAGAAAAAGTAATTAATAGTTGGGAAAACACACATCAACAGAAATGATGAGGACCATTAAAATATTAGAAAATGTCTTTTTTGTTGTTGTTCTTTCTTTCCTTTTCTTTTCTTTTCTTTTCTTTTCTTTTCTTTTCTTTAAAGATTTATTTATTAGGTATACAGCATATATGACTGCAGGCCAGAAGAGGGCACCAGATATCATTACAGATGGTTGTAAGCCACCATATGGTTACTGGGAATTGAACTCAGGACCTCTGGAAGAGCAGTCAGTGCTCTTAACCCCTGAGCCATCTCTCCAGCCCTTTTGTTGTTTTTTCAAGATGGGGTTTCTCTGTGTATTGACTGTCCTGGAACTCACTCTCACTCTGTAGACCAGATTGGCCTCAAACTCACAGAAATCCGCCTACCTCTGCCTCCTGAATGCTAGGATTAAAAGCATGCGCTACCACCGCCCAGTGAGAACGTCTACTTTTAAAGAAGTCAGTTTCTTCCACAGGACACTTGGCAACCTTCAGGGATGCCTTGTTGGATGGGGAAAGACTGCAGGCAATTAGTGAGTAATCCCAGGGATGGAGTGGAACATCCTGGAACACATACAGCAACAGCCACAAAATCATCCAGCTCACAATTAATAATAGTGTGGAGACTGAGAAACTACACATGCCAAGTAAGCATTCCACTGCTGATCTATGCTTTCAGCCCTGAGAAGCCCTTGGAGAATCATGTAAGAAAGGGCAATTAGAAACAAGGTAAGCACTAACCTGTGCATGCCAAGTACACTGAAAATGCTCAAAAACTGAAAATGCTCAAAAACATACAGCTGGGTGTGATGATACACACCTTTAATTCCAGCACTCAGGAGGCAGAAGCAGATGGATTTCTGTGAATTCTAGACCAGCCTGGTCTATTCAGTGAGTTCCAGGACAGTAGGGGCCATGTAGTAAGACGCTGTCTCAAAACAAACAGAAGCATATACTTTACTATGTATTTCATCCTCTGAGAACACTGGCATAACTGGTTGAGGGTGAAAGTAGATACGAATCACTTCTACAAGTGCCTAAGACTGCCGGCAACAGTCACACTCAGCTCCTGCATACAACACTGCTATGGAATAATCTTTTTGTAGACTGTGAAGATACGTCTTTGCCAAGGTGCCTTCTGATTGGATTAATAAAGAGCTGACTGGCCAATAGCCAGGCAAAAAGAGGTTAGGCCAAATGGAAAGGACAATGGGAAGAAGGGCAGTCAAGGGAGTTAACAGGAGATGTGGAGAGAAGCAAGAGGAACACACCATTCTGAAAAAAAAGGTACTACCACATGGCAGAGCATAGATAAGAAATATGGGTTAAGTTGTCAGAGCTAGTTAGTAACAAGCCTAAGCTACCAGCAGAACATTTATAGTTAGTAATAAGTCTCAGTGTGGTTATTGGGAAGCTGGCAGTCCTGATGAAAAGTTCCACCTACACAACACAAGTCAGGCTGCCTGCAGCTTGAGGGAGGCTGCCTGGTGAGGAGCAACGCTTCTGCCCACTCGACTGACAGCAGATACAATCATCTGACTGCCCACCAAACCCCAGGGCTAGCCTTGGTGACAGATGTCACCTTACTGTGTGAACTCATGCAGTTACCCACCAAGTGTAGGCTCAGCAGTGGACACTGGACACCAAGAGGCCAGCAACTTTGATTTACAGATAAAGCACAGTGAGATGCATTTTTCAAGGGGAGAGTACACTTACCACAGAACGAAATCGTACAGATTCTATCTGTCCATACTCTTTGAAAAATGACTTCAGCTTCTAAAATAAACAATATACACATACATGTTAGTTAACACTTTGAATGTCTGTGTCACAAAAGGAATAATGTGAATGGTCTAAGCACCCTTTACTGCTATACTTTATTTTCAGAACATTCCAGAACCAACTGTAGTAGCATACACCTGTTATCCCAGCATTATAAACACAAAGTGGAAGCAAGATTAGTGTTCACATCCAGTGTCTAAAAATCAAGGAGCATGTCAGAAAAACAGGTGACTATTCAGCTGGATGGACAAAGATTTTACAGAAACTTGGGAAGAAGAAAAACACAATTCAGGTTCACATTAGCATCCATTCATGACCTGCATGCTAGTTGTGTGTTTCAATGCTTACAATCTGTGAGACACTTAAATTGAGGTTAGACTTGTATCCTGCACATATTCTCTGATCTCTTTACACTGGCTGAAACCAAAGTGCCTTTTATGATGCTGCTCCACAGGGAAATTCTCCAGCTGTTTAATTCAGAACACCAATGTAAGGAGAGTCCTAGTCAGTCATTTTTGGGCACTAGTCTTTGACTATTTCAAGATGTGAAGAACATACATTGTTAAGGAGTAGGACAGTAATTTCTATGACTAATTCTAATTAAAAAGCCATTTACTGTATGAATATTTTTGCAGAGCAACTGTATCACACTCCTCTCCTCTGAGTTCTTATGATCTAAAAGGAAGATCATAACCAACAGCCAAATATATACAGGAGGCTGAAGCAGGAGGATTGAGATTTCAAGGCTAGCCTAGGGTGAACAGAGTGATTCATAGGGCGATCCATACCAAACTGACAAGACACCTGAGCATGGTCTCTCATCCTAGCACTTGGGAGGGAGAGGCAGAAGGACTGCCATGAGTTAGAGACCAGAGTAAAGACATAAGGAGATCTTGTCTCAAAGAGGAGGACTTGAGGGATGGCTCAGCAGTTAAGAACACTGGTTCCTCTTTTTTTTTTTTTTTTTTTTGGTTTTTCGAGACAGGGTTTCTCTGTGTAGTTTTGGTGCCTATTCTGGATCTCGCTATGTAGACCAAGCTGGCCTCAAACTCACAGAGATCCGCCTGCCTCTGCCTCCCGAGTGCTGGAACTAAAGGTATGTGCCACCACCGCCCGGCCACTTGTTATTCCTTCAGAGGACCTGGGTTTGGTTCCCAGCACCCAAATGGTAGCTCACAATCATCTGTTACTCCACTTCCAGGGGATCTGATGCCTTCTTCTGATCTCTACAGGCACTAAACATAAATGTAATATACATACATACATGCAGACAAAATATTCATACACATAAAACATCTAAAAAGAAGATATATTTTAAAGGATAGCACATGATATCTTTATAAATCAAACAGTAGGGGAGAGAATAAAAGTCAGTGTTTCCTAGGTTGTTTTGTTTTTAAGGAAGGAGAATAAACATCCTTCCAAAGATGAGCAGGATATGGGCCTGAGGATTGTTCACGCAGTGACTACCAACAGAACTTCTGTTCACAGAAGGCAGAGGTAGGGCTTTAGTGAACCAGCAGAAGAAAGGCACCTAAGTGCTTTCTCACACACAGGCAACATTCATTGATCCCGTGCTGTGTGTCAGGCACCCTCCCATGTATTTTGGACAGAACAGTGAAGAGAGAGAAATCTAATTTACATTATAGTGGCATTAACAGGAAGGAATCTGAAGAGAAAAAAAGCCAGAAAAAGCCACTGCCATTATAAACATGACATTGAGAAGCCGGAATTAGGGCTGGGAGCCAAGCCCCAGCACCACACGCACACATCACACACATACACAAACACACAGCCCAGATTAAGCCTGTGACTACAGAATCAAGGAAGTGTCGGCACCAGAACACATCTATGGTGTGGTGATTAGGAAGCACAAGGAAGCTATAGCAATGAGTTAACTACTGGCTCAATAAAAAAGCAATCTTAGTCGATAACTTCCCTGGGTTTATACTATCCCTCCCACTCACCTTCTTCTTACATGTGACAGGCAAATTGCCAACAAACACGGTCCTCTCGTTTTTCAACCGCTCTTCTTCTGGGTTGAGTGGGATTTTCGTTCTTTGGTCCCCATCGAGGCTGAGGGCAACACCAAGCGCTTCTCCACCTGCTGCTTTACCACGAGACTGAGACTTTCTCCTTTCTTGCCCCTGCTCCTGATGAATCTCTTCTTCTAGATCAGCACTTGCTAGAGCACTTTCCCTAGTTTTTAAGGAGCAATCAAAGAAGAGTCAAAAACAAAACAAACAAAAAAACAGCACAAGAAAAGCCAGTCCTGCCTCCTCAGTACAAAAACCTTCCCCTGGCTTCTGCTTCCCAAAATAAAGCTTAGCACTCAGAAATTTATCAGAACTGTCAAAGCAGCATTCTCTTTAAAAAGGTGACTGATACCTTAGAAAACAAATTCTAGATTTCAAGAATTTAAGTAAAGTCTAGTATTTGAAGATATACTAAAAAACCATGCAACAGCAGCAGCAGCACAAACATTCTAAAGAAAAGCCATCCACTTAAAGCTCTTCAAGGTTTAGTTTACATTCCACTGACACTAATGTATTATCATTCTCTGCCCTAGGACCTAGACACTGCAACGTTCTCTAAGAATCTAAAAAGGCTGAGATGCCCACCCAACACTCTGAAGAGGATCTGGTCCACTGAGCGAACCAGAGTCCCTCCTTCTAAGAGTTGTGTTGAAAGACCCCCGCTCCATTATGAGGATATGGGGCGTTGGGCCGATGTTATGCCCCCCC